TCCCCTTGCTGTGCAGTTGTTGAAGTCAGGTATTGCCATGGCATCCAGCTGTGCTGGGCACCCCACAGCTGGGGACTGCAGCTCCTTGCCTGGCATCAAACACATTGGCCTCTAACCCAGAAAAGCCCTGCCTGGTCAGCTCCTGGAGCTCCACCATTTGTCCCCTGTGACCTGATTACAGCTTTGATCGATGGCCAGAGCAGCCATCTGCAAAGTACTCAAAGCTCCAGCAAAAGGCTGCTTTGATTTCTTTTCAGTGCCTTCAAAGTACTCATAAAGTCACCTTGAGCACACAAAGATGACTTCTCTTTCTCTTGTTGATGAGATTTCACAGATGATCTGATTAGAAGGTGTTTGGTACTGGGCTGCACTGCCACGGGCAGGAATGACACTCTTTTTGCCTCCTTTTCTGGCTTTTTCCACATCCTCTTACTGAATGGTGTGCTTTTATCTTTTAACCTAATGTGCTTCTCTGGTGGTTCTGTCATGAAGTAGAAAAAAAATTCTGGTGGTTTCTGCTCTGAACACCTAAGGCTTTCACATAAATGAAATGTCCTGAGAACAATTATTTCTCATTCATCAGCAAAGATTCATCAGCAAAAATTCCCCCTGCCTGTCTGTGAGTGCTTTTCCCTGGTCGGTACAGCCACATGGAGGGAGAGCTCACTGTCTGCCAAGGGCTTGGATGTGCTGCTTTAAGGCCACACACCATGGAAAGTGTTTCTGAGGAGAAACTCACCGAATTCTTATTTGTTCCACAGCAACAAAGAAATGGAAAAAAACTCCACTGTCACAAGGCAGATTCTGAATTTTACTCAGTATACCATAAATATAGCCAGGTCTAACATATTATGAAACAAGATAAGAAGGAATTGAAGTAAATTATGTGGCACCACATAATTGAAACAGACAAAGGTCCAGATGTACCACATGAATCTTGAATAATTGTGTTTAAGAATAGTCAAAAGAATCACAATAATTTCTGCTAGGCTGAGGATGTGCAATATGATATTTTATTAGTTTATAGGAATATGAAGTATTCATCAAATTGTCTTGTACTTCTTATTACCTTTGAGCTCTCACTAGTCTTATGGATGATTAGCTGAGACATTTCTCTCAACAGTTACAATTCCAGAGAGGCAGCAAACAGCAGAGAAATAAAATCATTCTCATGAATCATCAGAAACTCAGCAATACAAACTGCAGTGGCCCAGGTAGGGTGCAGAACAGACAGGTATTTACTGAGTCAAGGCAATATTCAACCAAAAAAGAAAAAAACTCTGTTTCCTGCAAGTTGGGGAACTAAAAAACGAATATATAGGAAAATTAGTTTATCTCTGGTATCATAACCCTGCTGTTCAGTATGTTGGAGAAGAACAAAAGAAAGGGAGAAGCAGAATAGCTCAGAGTAGGCCCCCTTGGACATGAGAGCCCACAGGTTCAGAAGCATCTTAGCAAAACTGAATATTCAACAAGCTTCTACTTTTAAAGGACCTCAGATTGTAACTAGCTATACTGGAAAAAAACAGGATTTCATTCCTCAAAACTGATACTTGTTAAACTAATGGGGAATAGTCCTCTTTTATACTTTTAGCATCTCACTAAGACTGCCCTTAAAAATGCTGTCTGTTGAATCTTAATAGATGATATCACCTCCTCTATATCATGTTTTATATTTTTATACAACCCTTTTTCACAATAATTTCTAATTTGACAATCTATATTGATGCAAATCTAGGTTAACAAAAACTTGATATTGGCCACAAATGTCAGTAAACACTATGACATGAAGAATAAAAAAAGCCCAGGCATTTAAGAAGGCATTCAATTCTGGGATCAGTAAGAGAAGGAGGAGAGGAAAGGAAGGAGGAAGCAGAGAAATAGAGGAAGGACTTTAGAGACAGTAACATGTATTGAAACAGAATAAAAATACCATTACAACTCTAATGACCTGACTTGACAATAACTTCTTCTTCAAACAATGCATAGCTGAACTGGAATTCATAGTAGTATTTTTATAAGACTAACTGAGAAAAGACAATTAGTAAAGATAAGTAAAAGATATGTAGGAAATTGCACTGCACTGAAAGGTCATGCTCAATACAGAAAATGACTGTAAGCAAAGCTCTTCCTTCTTGACATTAATATTCTTTAGTATTTGTGTGTTGATGAAATTTCTAATGAAACAAAATCAGCAGGCATTGTCAGGAACAAGGATGATCAGAACAAATATAACAAGAACTGGATAACCTTGAGGACTGTAGCAATATTAAGAACACTGATTTATGTGAACAGTGTTATGAAATGCCAAGTCATGTGTTCTTAGCATTATGCAAAAAAATTCTTCAAAAAGCCAGCAAGAACCCACTGCTGGAAAATGAGCGAGGAAGGGAAAGACCTTACTGTACTTTTTGTTCCAGAAAAGACTCTCACCTGTGATATGCAGTTGTGAAGAAAGGCAGAGGTGGCTTTTTGAAGAAAGGCAGGATAAATGCCACAGTGTAATACAGATTTCATCTGGGACACTGTTCATGGTATTAGTTATTCCTAATGAAGAACTAATGCCAGTTTTGAATTTCTCTTAACATACTCCTGCATGAGAAAGCTAAAAAAGACTGGAATAATCAGTTTAATGAAATGAAGTCTATGAGAAACTGCAAGTGTTTTAATTAAATATGTTATGAAGGTCCCAGCAGGGTCAGAGAAGACACTGAATTTTAAAAAAATCGTAGGCCCAAGCAATGAATATTAATTTCATGCCTTCATAGGCATGAAAAGACCTGGGGTAGGAATTCACAGAATATATAACCACTACAAGAAAGCAATGGTGAAACAGCCATCTAAGAGGATCACAGGAGAGAGAAACAAACCTTCTTCAGGCATGCAGCTTAAGCACTTTTTACAAGTGATTATGACTTCAGCACCTGCATTTAATAACTTGGACGGTCACTTTCAATCTCACTCACCCTGCCCATCTACCTACCAGCACTTTTGCCTTAAGTGATTCATGAAGAGTAGACACACAGGTTTTCAGCAGGACAAAATGGTGTTTATGAAGAGCAATCATTTTCTGCAGCAGTCTGACTTTAAAGTGCTTCAAAACACAGTTCAAGTGTTACTTTATCCACATTCTTTAGTGGACTTTATCATTGCAATGACAGACAGGCTGGCTACACTTAGTATCCTGATTTAAATCCATTTTACCTTTGTGATGCTGCAACAGAGCTCAGAAATCCCCAAATGACCTCTGCTCCAGGCATCCCAACTTCTATGGTAAATTCAGTTTCTACCCTCTCTATCATATGATGAGCATTAAGTTTTCATACTGAGTGGAACAACAACTTTGAGCACTCAATACCTCAGTTTTTAGGATTGTTTCTAGAAAGATAAGTGATCTGCATCAAACCTCTACTCTAAATCAGATAAAAGAGAAATTTCAATTGACAAGTCCCACATTCTAAGTCTGAATGAGAACAAGTGCTCTCATTGAAAAGCAGACACACAATTTTCTGTTTTACCCAAGGACTGACCTGACAGGTATTTCCTGGGAATATTTTCCAGAGCAGGTTGTGAAAGGATGAGAGGAGGGATATCTACTTTGTGAATCCCAATAAGACTTAGTCATCTCAGCAATGCAGAGAGATGGCAAAACCTTGCTGGCCATTTAAACAATGCTGTGAACAGAGAGAAAGGATTTCCTCTGATTCTCCAGCTCCCCACCTTACACACACAATTGAAAAATAGAAAAATATCAAGTCCTTGCTACAAGGACAATTAAAAGACACTGTCACAGCAAAAATTTTCTCAATAAAAATCTCTGTAATCCTGAATTATGCCAATAGTTTTCTCACACATTATAATCAACCTCATATATATACTCACACTACCTATATACTGGTTGCATAATACCTGGCTGCAGGTATGAGATCCTGAATCAAATGCTATCAATGGAAATTGTACACAGAACTACAAAAAAGCGCAAACAAACTAGATTTTATCCACTTTCAGTGCCAAGTCCACCACTGTATTTGCTGCTTGTGAATATCAGTACACAGAATTCTAAAGATAGTCTCAACTCTGCTTACTTATGCATGGAAATTATTTCAGGCAACAGTGTCACAAGAATTTTTGCATATCTGTAAATTCCAATAAGATGAATGAAATTTGGACACAAATGCAAAACATATTCTTAAATGCTTTCTCAAACAGAAGTTCAGCTGTACCGAGTTCTTACCAGACTGTAGCAGAAATTAAACACAGAAATTCCACATATTTCATAATACAGAACTTATTTTAAAAATACACATACTTGTGTGCTGTATATTAAAATGTTATATTAACCTTGAGAGTTTTTATATAATCTTAACTGGAGTGTTAAATAAGGTGCTTGCAATATTGTCATTATAAAAGTGATCATGAATCTTTTTCAGAGAGAAGAGATTTTACTTGACAAGTTCCATCTATATACGTTCAATAGACAGCAGTCATTAAATCAATATATATAAACAGACTGTTTACATTCTTTGAAAGCTTAACTAGAGCACAGTGGTTAGGAAAAAACCCACAAAACACCTATTTCAAGGACGATTCTAACCTCTTGCCTTCACTTTTAAATGGAAACAAGCTGCCACACAGTTCAGCAGTAAAGGAGGATAAAGAACTGATAATAATCCTTGTGCTCCTCACATGAACTCCAACAAGGCATTTGAATGAGACTTTTAAAGCTGTAAATTGTCTATAAAAACACAGAATAACTTCTGCTAATCCTTGTGCCACAAATTACTAATCCATCTGGAAAGCTATTTTTTTGCTTGTGTTTACAAGGATCTAAACATCATCAGACAGAAAGACAACTGGGTTAGTAGCATGTAAAAAAACACAAAAAAAACCCAACAAAAAAAAAACCCTGAATACAAAACATGAAAAAAACAGAACTCAACAGAAATAAAAACTCCAAAGCAGTTGAGCAGAGAATAAGTAGGATTTGCAGAAGTACTTACAGCTTTCAATCTCCAGCGTGCAGTTCTGCTCATCCAGCGGATATCTCCGCAGGTCCATCATGCAGGCAGCTGTTGTTGTAATTCTGGGAAGGAAGGAGAAGAGTTTGTTAATGTGCCTTGTTCCAATCTTTCCTCCATCACACTGTGCTGAAAGAAGAATCTGTATTTCTGCATGGCTGATGCTCAGCCTGGTTTTGCCTGGGTGCCATGTCTGCTGCTGGTGGGTAACCAGCGCTTGCCCTCCCAGCACAGCTCCCCTCAGCACAGGGGTTTTCTGCTGTGGGCTAAGCACAGCTGACTGGCCAAAGCACCTGGGGAGCCTGCTTCCACACCATGAGAAAAATGAGCAGCCATTTGTACGAGCTTTCTTCAAGCTGCAAGGCTGACCAAAGGAATGAGCTCCAATTGTAAAATCCAAGATGATGATCTCCACAATGGGACCCAAGGTGGAGTAGATGGAGTGCCTGCAGCACATGCAGACACTAAGACATTACAGGATAAATGTCTTTCCAAGGTATTAATGAGAGATTGGGTGACCAACAGTTTTCTTCTCAAAATCCTGTGTCATGTATGAGGTTTACTACTGGCCTTACATAGTAGATATTTGGAATGTTCAATATGAGTTCATAAACTTTTTGTATATTCTTTGTTCTGGTAAAAAGACTTCAGTGAACTCTTTCATTTGACAGATTTTATTCTTTCTCCTTGAATACCCAAAAAGCGTTCATCAGTGGCAGAAAATTACAGTTACCTAGTCAAAATTCACTCAAAATTGACTGTAGCAATCATTCCTGCAATGCAGAAATTAACAATCTTCATAAGTATGTTTACTATCCTATCTTATTGGTCTCTTGGAGAAAAGGAACATCTTTTGGCAGCATGTCCTTTCTTCATTCCATGTAGGTGTACTCATAGAATTGCTTTGGAAAATATAACGTTTTTAATCAGTGTGTGTTACCAGAGACGCTTCACAAGAAAGCTTTTTGGAGTGCGACAAGTGCACAGGGAGAAAGGCTCCTTTGGTGCCTCTGAGTGAAAGCATTCCAGCTTTTAACAAAATCACACGTGTGTTGATATCAAATGCAAATGGAGCAAGCAGCAGCACATATTGGTAAAAAATTCTCTTAGCAGTTAATAGTTCGTTCCTTATTTTTAAATCTAGAGAAAAATCAAAGAAATCACCCTGTTACAGTATCAATATAAGACTGATTATTTTGGGGCAAACTTCAAGAGAGGTGAAGTGAGACCAGAAAAACATTACAGCTGATGTTTTTTGTTGGTTTATGTTTGGGTTCTTTGTGGGGAGGTATGTTTTGATTTCCTCAGTACTTCCATACTTACCTGTATATTATAGTCAGGATTTTACAACCGTTTCAGTAGTAGACAGAGGAAAAGGCAGAGCACAGGCTTACAGCCAAGGTTTAAATGCACAAAAGAGTTATGGTAAAAGCTAACCTGGTTGACTACTAAGTTTTCTCAGAGCTTTCTCTGCACTAAACACTTCTACCCAAAGTCTACCAGATCCAAGGGTTCCACACAGAGACAGCCCCAGCCGTGCTGCCCTCTGCAAAGTGTCTGTACCCACTGATGGAGTGCAGAACTCACAGTTCTCACACACATTTCCAGAGGATTTCTGGTGCAAAAACCAAGAGGGGCCAAAGGCTGCAGACAGCTTGGATAAAAGCTCTGCAGGGAACATCAGGAAATTTTTAAAGGACACAATGCCCTGCACCTCACTAGAAAGTAAAGGGGGAAAAAGTGGCATGGTAAGGAAAATGATTTGTAGAGCAGGGATCTAATCAAGTCAAAACAGAAGTTTTGAATAATGTATTAAATTCAACTTGCTTGTTCCTTCCTATCCATAATGCAAATCTATTGAAATAATGTCAGTACTCTGTCCTTTCCTCTCCTCTTACCTCCCTCATATTTTTAGCCTGGCTTCTCACATTAATAGTAAAGTAGAAAAAGTTCTCTTTCATCTTCATAATTAATTACACAGCAAAACTACCTTTGGATAATTCTTAGTGGTTCCCAGTTCATGGTGATTAGCTAAATCAATTTACCAAAGCAACAAGAGTGCAAGAAATACCACCTTGTATTAAAGGCAAGAGACATGACCCACACCCTTTCAGAGAGAGGAAGAAACAGAAGTTCATTTTAGAAGTTGGGAATGCTTGAAACAGGCCCAAAGCCTCTCTCCCAGAGCAGAGCTGCTTCAATTTTCACAGCAGGATTAAAAATATTTTCATACAGCTGGTACTAGTGCAAAAAATATAACATTGTGTTTTGCATAATGCAACCTTGAGAACAAACAGTGAAAAAGTGAAAAGCTTTTAAAAAAACAACAGAGTGACTCAAGGCTCTGCAGTCATTGGGGATGATACACAATACCAGAACTCAGAGGCACCACATGAAATGAAACACATCACAGAACTGTCTCTCTCATACACTCATCTTTTCATCTGTTGCTAAAGAAAGAGGAGCCTTGTGATATTTTATGATTCCTAACAATGAAAATGAGTTTTTTCATATTCCTCTTTTATGCACCATATTTTGAATGTAGACTGATTATGAAGCAACAAAAAAAAAAGCAAACCCTGAAGCACCACTGAACTGACTAAATAAAGTATTATGAAGTAGACCTAGAGAAAACTTCTTGTGTTAAAACAAGCACAGCTTCACTGCAAAAATTCTGCACCACAACTGACTTGCAGGGAAAGTAAAGTTTGCTGTCAATAATTCAAAATAATTCAGATAAACTCTGAGAAAACTGAAAATCTGCTCACCTCCAGATCTTTGGAGGGTTTGTGATTCAAATAAGAATTGAAAATTCTCACTACTTCTTTCAGAGGCTGAATGTGAAGGCCATAAAGAACTTTAAACACTTCCAAACTTAAAGCGAGGCAGAAAATAATACCCCTATTATAATACTATCCCAGAAGTGCCAGTAGGTCTTATTTTGCAGTTCTATGCAGGGAACAGTTTTTCAAAATCCTATAAATTTTGCTTTTCTGACAAGTCCAAATATGGTTTGAAATCCAAAATAGCAACGTAAACAGTTCTGACATCACTAGTGAAGGAAAAAGAGCACTGGAAGAGAGGAGAGCGATGCTAATGACATGTGGAGATGGACAGAACCCAATTCCCTCTTGGAGCTGCAATGGCTTTGCAAAGCTGCAGAGAAAAAGCAGCAAGAGAAACTTAACTCTGCCCTGGGAGCAGCCCTGACCTGTAATTACAGGTTTACAGACTCACAGCAATGATGAGCAAGAGGGTGACAAGTTCAGTACAAGAACTCTGTCACCCTCCTCTCCTGTTCTAGCTCTAACAGACCATCATCCTATGGACTCAAAGAGCTGAAGCCCAGGAGGAAAATACAAAAACTAATTCTTTCTCTAAATGTATGCACATAGATCCTGTTGAAAGCAGAGTGAAATTCTGCTTCGGGTTTGTGTACCTGCAAGCTGGCTGACTCCCCATTAACAGCACCAGGAGCAATCCAAACAGCTCACAGGGACAACAGACTCAATCTCTTTATTGAGGATTTTATAAGAATTCTCTGTGTGTGGTGAAAGAGAGTCAGGAACTCTCTAAATTAGTTGCTGAAATAATTTACTGCAGCTAAACCCACTGTTCACCTTTGCTTCTTGGAAAAAGTCCTCGTGCATGACAGCTGCAAATACCTGTGACAGCAGCAGCCAGCAGAACCAATTTTAAATACCTGGAAATTCTGGGAACAAAACATCAGGGGGATAAATCTCTCTCCTGGGTGATAACATTGGATTTAAACATGTGTCAAGGTTGATAGACATAATAACAGATCTATTTTTAAATAAAATATATTTATTGCTAATTAGAGAGTTCACAGAATTTTTCTCCTGTTTATTCACAGAAAAGCTTCCCTTGTGTGATCGTAGGTAAAGAGTTGGCTGTAGGAAACTCCAAACAATAGTGACATTTCCTAAAATTCAACATTAAATCTAAAAATTCAGCTACTGAATTTTTCAACTATAAATCAGCTATAAACTTTCAATTGTAAACAGCATGTGGAGTTTTATAGGAAAAGAACAGCTTTTTTTATTGATGTTGATGTCTCTATTTGAGATGAAACAATATACACATGCTCCTGAGAACCTGTAATGTGCTCTCTTCTCACTACTCCTCAACATTTCCTGAGTATTCCAACCTAAGTGCCAAGAGCTCACTTTTCTTACTCCATCTGGAAGTAAGGACATGCAGATATTTCCTCCTTGATTTTGCAGTGTGCAATCCTCAGACAGTAAGGTGTTCTCTGAAAGCACTAAGTATATTTGTCAAAGCTGAAAGGCATAACCATAATACAAGTTAAGAATATGAAAGATATTACACTAAAACATGATCTAAATGTAATAAAAGAGAGAAAAAAGCAGCTGATAAAACACAGGCAGTCAGAATTCACACAGAAACTTTGACTTCATTAAGTTTTGTTGTTGCTGAGATTATTGGTAAAAGAAGCAGACCAGATTTTTAAAGGAAACTAAAATCTATGTGCCTCTGATCTTTCTTGGGAAGATGTTCTGCATTGCCCTGCTGAAGTACAGCCTATTGTGCCATCTGCATGCCAGAAGAGAAGAGTCCTGGAAAACCAGAGAATTGGGCTCTTATTTCATGGTAAAAGAATTCTGTCATAGAAGAATCAGAATTTTGCTGCAGGGTTCCATTCCATCTTCTGCTATATACGTAGCTCTATAAAGCATTCTTTAAGTGAGATAGCATTTCCTACTATCCTGTCACTGTGTCCAAAATTCAGCCATTGCACCATTGTAATTATATCCTTGCAAAAAAACACACATCACAAAGCAGTAAAATCTTCTGCTACAATAACCTCAGCTTTAGACTGAATTCATTCAAACCTTTCTCTGAAGTAATAGGTTCTTTTCCAGAAAATAAAACCTACATAAAATGGCAGAAAAGCTCAGAGGAGCACTTCATAATTTTAATATTTTATCACTGAGAAATGTTTCCTTGTCTTTCAGCATTCACTTCACTTCTCCCTTTCAAAAGAAATAAATAAAAGGAGTTATGCTAAAGTACTACAGAACTT